AATAACAGTAAAAATCAGCTACAGCTGCACCAAGTACATGGCACAAATAATAAAAAAGCACAACAGGAGAATTATCAACAAACCACACGAACAAATTAAACCCACGTGCAACTGCAGAATAAAGAACGAATGTCCCTTAAACGGAAATTGTTTACAAAACAACGTAATATAAAAAGCCACAATAAAATCACCAGATAATGAAGAAAAGGTATACATAGGAGTAACTGAAGGACCATAGAAACAAAGAAATTATACACACTAAATATGCGAACAGTACAATGCTTTCTAAGTATATCTGGGAAATTAAAAACAAAACGCACATCACACCAAAAATATCTTGGAAAATAAGGAAAAGATCATCAGCCTACAACAACCAATAAAAAACTTGCAAACTTTGCTTGAAGGAAAAAATAGCTATCATTACTTTCCCAGACCAAAATAAATTATTAAATAAAAGATCCGAGCCCATCTCAAAATGCAGACATGAAAACAATTTTTACTACGTTATTTAAAAATTGAAAACGGAAAAAATAAAATAAAAACAAATAAATAAACAAAATAACAATAAAATAAGCAAAATTAATTAATCCAAATAAATTACCAAATCACACCTGTTAGAATAGACGAAATAGAACAACAATAATAATAATTATTATAACAACAAAAAAAAAACAACGAACCCAAATATATAAAGTAAATAATAAACAAATTAGCAAACCATTATGATGTGACGGTTACACACCTGGCCCAGGGTCGAATCCTTGGTTACGGCGCCAACTGTGACGTCGCTCCTCCTGGTCGCTCCTCCTGGTTCCAAGCGTGCCGCTCCAACCCCTTGGTTAGATGATCACCAGCCTCGCCTTTCCCAACTCGCTTCCAATACCTGAGTTTACTGAAGCAGCTGTACTGATCTCCGGTCTGTCTACCCACGCTGTGTTTAGATCTTAGACAGACGGGACCAGCAGGGGATTGGGGCCGCCAAGTTGAGTCCGACGGTGTGGCAAAACACAAGTAAAAAAAAAAAAAACTCACGAGACAAAAGGATTGCTGATAAAGAAAGGGTAACAACCTTTTATATCTAATGTCCGTTACATAAAAACAAAATTGTTCTCAATTCCCGACCCGCTCTGTGGACTATGGCACCAAGCTTCTATCACACAACCTAAGGATTTCGAATTGCCTACTCTTTAGAATTGTGTATGTCGGAGTGTGGTTTAGCTCGACACTGGGGCTAATTACCATCGATCATTCGCAGTTGATTCTTCTTCTTCGTCGACTTAGATAGAACTTCTCTTGTCTTCGACTTGGGCTGGATCTTCTCTGCGGCTTTCGAGTAATCTTCTTCTTCGCCTACTTGGGCTGGAAGTTCTCTTGTCTTCGACTTGGGTGGAAAGGATTTTCTTGCCGCAACTCAGCCGCTACTCTCTGTCGTCCGAGGTGATCTCTTCTCGCTGCCGTCCGGGGCTGAACTCTGCCGTAACTCTGCCGTATCTCTGCCACAAGCAACTCTTGCTGCCTGTCTGGCCTGCAATTCTTCTTCTTGTCTTGCAATTCTTCGGCCTGTCTGGCCTGCAGCTCTTCTTCTTATCTTCGACTTGGGCTGTAACTTCTCTGCGGCTTTCGAGCAATCTTCTTCTTCTTCGACTTGGCTGCAACTTCTCTGAGGCTTGCGAGCAATCTTCTTCTTCTTCGATTTGGGCTGGAAGGATTTCTTGTCTGAGTTTTCTCTTGCCCGCAAAGGGGCGAGTGAATCGGGCCTGATGCCCGCGTTCAGGCTCTATCCCCTGCCCGCGGTCCAGCTGCAACTCTCAACTCAACTGATTTCTGTCGACTGGGGTCCTGCTTTTATTGACGCCGCAGCAAACCGGGGTGGGTCTGTCGGCGTCAGGGGCTTTCTCAATAATTCCAATAGCCGCATTAATTCTGTTTCCCCCATTATCGCTATTGTTTTCACCCCTACTTCCTCACAGTGCCTTTGGTGGGGAGGTACACCCATCTCTCCGGTTTCTCGTATGTCAGGTGACCGTTTTTGACCAATGGTTCCTGATCGAGCATTCTTCCTCTTCTTTCCGCATATCGTGACCGCTTTTCGGCTAATGAGATTGTGGTTGGGCGCCTCCATCTCAAATCGGGCGTGGCTTACATCGTTCTTGTTTAAAAAAACAAAATCTAATTTTGCCCTTTTTGCACGTACGAAAAATGACAATCTTGGCTTTTTTCTCACCTGGGCTCTGTCAAAACAGCCTGCCGCTAATTAGATGTGACTTCAGGAAAGAATATTGGCGCCATCTGTGAGCTGAGACAATCGTTTTTTCACCTCTTGTTTTTGTCAGACCCGTCAGTCAGAAAATCTTAATTATCTACATTGAAAATGTCCCCACTTTATTATCGTGGGTTTCCAATTCTTAATAGGTCAGAATCTGTATACCGTTCCACCGGTCCTCCCCTCAACCCAAAAAAGACACTTTTTCTCTGATTAAAAAAATTTCGTTTCTATTGTTCTAAAAAAATTCCCCTTTCTCCGAATTGATAATGAGTCTTTTACGCAAAAAGTCGGTCATGCTTCGACCGATTTTTTATTATCAATACCTCTTATCAAGCATTGTCCCTTCCACTCTCTAAATGACTTTCCCTTCTAAATAACAAATCCCATTGTTTTTTCGAAAATCGGCCAAGATGTTGGCCTAATTACCTTTCTGATACGTGTTTTTGTTAATGACCGCTTTTTTGTATTTCTCGACCTCTCTCTTTTGCTTTTTCTCTTTCTTTCTCTTCTTTTTCTTTTAGGATCGTCTAAGTACAACTTAGTGAATTATTTTCAACTCAATTATTTTCCGTTTAAAAAAAAAAATCAACAACCTGTTTAATAAACCGAGTAAAAAAAAAATTAAATCATATTTCTATGAATATTTCTAATAATGCAAGGTGCCACAATGACCAAAATATTACTTAGACTAAAAAATCAAACCAAAAGATCGGACGAAAAAATAGCTATAACTGTTATATAACGATAAAAAATAAAAATAAATAATAAATAAATACTACGCTACTTAAAAATCGTAAAAAGTAAAATAAATTGACCTAAATTCATCCAAGTAAATAAATAAACAAACCAATCCCAAACGATTAAATGATATAAACAAATTTTTACTACGTTAATGAAAACACCGATTAAATAAATAAATAAAATAAGAAACAAAAAATAAATCAAAACAAGCAAAATAATTTAACCCAAATAAATAAACGACTTCCGGTAAAATAACCGCCATAATAGACTACCCACAATGCACCACTGACCCGTATTATATAAATAGCCGAGAAAAATAACAGCACACGTAGCATGACGATTGCATATAGCATGAAACACTGTCGCCTCTAAGTGTTGACTTCTATGTTCCTTATATATATATATATATATATATATATATATATATATATATATATAGTGATGTATTAGCGATGAAAGTAATGTTATTAAGTACCTTTGATTTGATCCGATCATAGAAACGGCATGTAGATGTTCTGCTCATTTGTTGCATCTTGGCTATATCGGGCTGTAATCCGTCTAGCGATATTCACTCTTCCTGTACAGGTCTGTTTTTAAAATTCAACCAGGTCCACTGACGAATTGCAAGAAAATATCTATTTCAGACCGGATGGGCAACCATGACGATGCTATATTATAGATATGCGTGTTGTTTATCCTATGTTTTCACTTCCTACTTTTTAGTTGTGGTGTACAGCAGTTTTATTTCCTCTATCGATCTCCCTTAGTCTTGCCTAAGGAGACAAGTAATTTTCGATTCTACGTTTAAAGAAATTTGATTTTTTTCCCCAGACTTCTCGATCATGTTCCTGGAAATAAACTTCTGCAGTGTTGGTCATTCAATGTTCTAATAACTGATAATGGACCAATTTTGTCTTATTCCTTCAGTCACGTAGCAAGGGTATTGAGTATTTCGATATGGTGCAATGGTTAGTAAGCTTGTCTCGCTAAATACATTACAACTGAAAAATGAGTTATTCCCTCTCTTGGTACCCTATACTATAGGCTTTGTGACACATCTAACCTACGCTGAGAAAATCCTCGTAGCAATGACCTCTTAGGATTTTCTTTTTTTTGATTTTTAGCACTGGCATTGGTTTTATGTTATGTGAAAACCCGTCAGTTTGTTTCTTTAGTTTTCTTTTTTTGTTATTTGTCCTTGTAATGATATGCAAACGACCGTCGAATTAGCATAACTAATTCGTAGACTATATAAATGCCCAAGCAGTAATGGTAGAACAGCTCTCGGTATACGAGTTTCGTGTGCTGACAGGTGGAATAAAAACATGCCAATAAAACCCGCTCAAACCACAGGCTGCCATCCCCACCTCTCTTTCGAAAGGGATCTGGATTTATTGCCCGGATCCTAAGGCGTCGCCAAGATCGGTAAGTGTCAAGGGGCTTGAGAATTTTTCTGCGGTATTGACGTTAAACCCAGTTTAAAGTGACCCAGTGTCACATCGTTAGTGACGTGAGTCCACTGAAAACCAGCGTCTCGGTATAAGAGATAGACGACTATCGGTGGGCTGATAAAATACGAAGGACATTCAATTTCATAGCAATATTTTAATGGTGATATTTGCGTTTACTTTAATCTTCTTGTATATCTTTTGATGGTTTGTCTTTCTCATTTTATTGATATTTTCTTGGTAATAAATTAATAGTAATATTTTATAACTTTAAAACTTACCACCTGGATGTCTGTTCCAGGCGTTAACGGCCTTTGGCACCAAACAGTAATATTCTAGGGAAAGATAACCACTAAATATCCATTAATGTTAACGTATTCTGACACAAGGATAAACATGTACGTTACCATTTAAGAGTAACCTTTTTGATATTTAGTAATCCCCAGTTATATGAAGCACACAGTCTCGCATATTCTTCAATAGCAATAGTTACGGAAATTTAGCATTTTAACAATTATTATACAGTGGGTGACATCTCTTTATAGATGCGTTTCTTTCATTTATTCCCCACTTTTATCTTTTTCTTTCGATTAATTACGTTTTTTCTCTCTTTGTGTTGTTTTTCCTGTCTTTTCAATGTTTTTTTTTTATTTAGTTCTATTTTCCTTCTATTCATTTTATTTCTCATTTTGTTTTTTTCATTCTTCATTTCTTTTTCACTTTTTTATTTCCTTCTTTTTGGATATTTCTTTCATCCCTATATGGATTATCGTCTGTAAGTGTACGTCCATTTTACTTCCTTTAATATGTTTACATTTCTATTTCTCTTTCTTTTATTCCTTCTCCATTTTTTTTCTTTCCATTTCTTTCTTTCTTTCATTTTCTTTTCCGATTCTTTCTGTCATTCATTCTTGATTCTACTGTGTATCTTCCAATTTTCATTCCTCTTTTAATTTATTTTCTTTCTTTTTCTTTCTTTTTTTTTTCTTACTTTTTTGCCCTACCTTTATTTTCTTTTAACTTTTCAGGATTTTCGTTTTTCTGTTCTTTCTTCTTTCTTTCTTTCATTTCATTATTTCTTTGAAATTTTTTTTTCTATATTTTGTTTACGTTTTTGCCTTTTAATTTCGCTTTCATTTTTCCCTTGTTTTTCAGTATCTTTTATTGATATTTTCTTTTCGATATGACAACAAATTTACTTAATTTTATATCAGCCACTGAATGCCAAAATTGATGAAAAATTATTATTTTCTTTTTATACTTCATGATATTTTGTACAGTGTAACCCGAATATAAGAGAAACCCGGATATAAGAGAAATTTTCTCTGGTCCTAAATTAGATCCTGTGTTAATATATATATATAAAATAGACCAAACCCGGATATAAGAGAAACCCGGATATAAGAGATTTCTTCTCCGGTCCCGACAACTCTCTTACATCCGGGTTACACTGTATATTAATTTGCATTTAATATTTCCAGGAGTTACTCTCACATTTTTCTCAACCCCTATATTCACTCTTTTTTTTCTACTCCAATTTAATCTTGTCTCTCTTCCTAGAGTTTCTTCCGAATTTCTCACTATTTTTCTATCTTTTTTGTCTTTCTTTCTTTATTTCTTTCTTTCTTCTTTATTTCTCGCTATTCTTTCTTTCACACTATCTCTCTTTCTTTCTTCTTTATTTCTCTCTATTCTTTTTTTAACGCTTTCTCTCTTTCTTCTTTCTTTCTCTCTATTCTTTTTTTAACGCTTTCTCTCTTTCTTTCCTCTTTCTTTCTCTCTATTCTTTCTTTCACGCTATCTCTCTTTCTTTCTTCTTTATTTCTCTCTATTCTTTTTTTAACGCTTTCTCTCTTTCTTCTTTCTTTCTCTCTATTCTTTTTTTAACGCTTTCTCTCTTTCTTTCCTCTTTCTTTCTCTCTATTCTTTCTTTCACGCTCTCTTTCTTTCTTCTTTATTTCTCTCTATTCTTTTTTTAACGCTTTCTCTCTTTCTTCTTTCTTTCTCTCTATTCTTTTTTTAACGCTTTCTCTCTTTCTTTCCTCTTTCTTTCTCTCTATTCTTTCTTTCACGCTTTCTCTCTTTCTTTCTTCTTTATTTCTCTCTATTCTTTCTTTCACGCTTTCTCTTTCTTTCATTTATTCTTTTCAGTGAATTTCTGCCTTAAGCATTTCTTCTTTGAAAGTTCCTAAAAAAAAAAACTGCATTAACATGCCATTCCATTCGTGTTTCACTTTATTCACTGATCTCTCTCTCTCTCTCTCTCTCTCTCTCTCTCTCTCTCTCTCTCTCTCTATATATATATATATATATATATATATATATATATATATATATAAACCAGCTAAATAGCTATCTAGCCATATTTTTATCTGTCTTGTTGTCTCCCTTTTTCTCTTTACGACCCCAATTACGGATGGGATGAAGAACGGTGTAAAAAGTTTCATTAAATGTCCATACCTCACTACACTTATTTTCACGCTTATATATGCTGATAAACGCGGGTACGCACACACTCATATATGCGTGCACATATATATATGTGTGTGTGTGTAGAATTAATTATTATTCAAGGTCGATGTATTTTGTTTGGAATACCTCGGAAACGGCATGCACAACCTTGACATACATTGACAGCCAATCAAAGGGGACCTTATTGTGCATGCTTAAGCAGACACTCTCCTACGAAAATATACATTCAACAATTAGAATGCCATTGAGCTAACTTGATTATAGTGTGATATTCGCATTCATCATGGAATCACGTACAGTTTGGGGGCAAAACGTCGCTTCTCACACCTACATTTATCTTCTACAGTGAAGATCTGATTTCTGCGATTTCCAAAGCGTACAATCCACGTAATCTATAAAGACTGAAAGGACAGTCACAAAGCAAAGTCTGTTACTCTTGAATTACAACAAATGAAACATTTGAAGTATCTTTTTTTTTTTATAATCGGTATCACCCCAAACAAGATAGTACAATCGATAACACGCAATGGAATACAGGGTGTGAAGGATTTAGTATTAGAAACATTAGTAATGAGGAGAAATAAAAAAAAAAAAAGAGCAGTCTTGGAGACATAAGAGAAAACATGAAACCGGAAGGGAAGTTCCGGAAACGATAAATATGAGAAATGGAACTGTTAGCATAGAATTTACGGTTACCTTTAGTTAGCTCTTGTATTGCGCTTACATTCATACAGTCCACCTAAACAAAGCGCCCTAAAATGAAAAAATATAAATCACTAGGATTTCCAAACTCAGTTTCGACTTCTCAAAATCGGTATTGCCCCTTTGAATATACATACGCCATTGGCAGAGGTAATATGCGTTGAAAGAGCGGTTCCTGTACGATGACCGAAGTTAAACAACGTGAAGACTATTCAGTACCCAGATGTGAATTCCAAATACCGTAAGCTTAGTAGCGCGGGAGGTGAAATGGATAATCGCAGGAATTGTTAATCGAATGACCGAGTTCCAATTCCAGTCGGGTTCGTTATATTTGCTTAGGCGTAAATACCCTTCGGAAATGTATGGATCCATCTCCTCATCTAGCTATGAATCAATTAGCCAGATTTTTATCACAGAAACCATTATTATGTCAAACAAAAATGACGCCTCCTGCTATCCCCTACTTTTGCAAGGGATAGAATGGGCCAAAAATGGAGCACTGTTGTCACATTTGGGCAGAAGCTATCGAAACCTCGCTCTCTAGTCTTGATAGATTCCAAAAGTGACTTCGTGAGCTTGTTGGTAACGAATTATTCTCCTCAATTCAGCCTCTCCCCAACAGGCGGGATGTGGCAAGCTTCTCGCTTTCCTCTCGCTAATTTCTCGGAAAGTGCTCGGACAAACTTCATTCTCTGGTCCCGCTGAGGTAAACCGTCACAGCTAAGACCTTCCATGTCACTTATATAGTAGCAAACCACGAACATTCCCTCTATATTTCAGTGGTGAGAAGTTCAACTCGAGCAGCTTCTTACCGTTACCTGTGGAACCGACTCGACAGAATCTTTCCACAATCACTACAATCTTAACCTATTCAAGGCTAGTGTTAATCGTTATCTCCCTCATCTATACACACAAACGGCCTCCTAATATAACCCTCTACCTCGAGTGGCTCTTGGGCCTTGTGAAAGATAACCCTCCCTAAAATAAAATATATAAAATTGCGTAGAAGTTATATAGATTTCAGCATTAAAAGACCAATAGAGCTTGATATGATACTAAACAGATCGAACCTCCCAACCAGCAAACAAACCGTTTCTACACAGAGAATAAGAACAATCTAAACTTGTATGCTAAATAAAGGATTAAATTAAAACGTTTTGAATGCTTTGTTTTCTAGATGAAACATGTAGTAGTTAGAGAAGCATAGACTAGAATAAAGTAGTAACATTTTCATTACTTCGTTATTAAAAAAAAAACCCTATTAAAAAGTTCTTAACGCTATGAGTGAATGTCCACATAGATATAAAATAGACGTTATAAAATAATTCCACAAGCAAGTGCAGGAGAATTCATTCTCTCGTCTGATTTTCCTTAAGGAACTCAATAAAATGAAACAAAGGCTAGTTAACAACGGTTTTCCAAACTACCTCATGGCTCACCAAATTAGATTATTTCTTTCTAAGGTAACAACTAGCAACACTGAATATACAGATAAAAAAAGAAAAACATTAAAAGTCGATAAAAATCAAACACACATTAACTATAAGGAAAATATTTTTTCTCTTCGCAACATAATAAACAAATACACAACCTCAGCTGACGAGAACAAGAAAATTAAATTAAATTATCCATTATTAAAAATTTAAAACTGCTAGCCTTATCGGCAGCATAAGAAACTCACCTTTAAGATCTGAATTACAGATAATAAATATTATTTACGAATTCATGGAGTCCCTTAAGGAACTGTGTTCCGGATCAAATCAAATTCATAAATAATTATATTGGATATGCGACTACATGCCTATCAAGAACACCTGAGTATAGCTAAATTACAACTCATTTAAACACTCGCGGAAAACTACCAAACTACACCCCCAAGATACTTGTAGAAAGTGTATATATATATATATATATATATATATATATATATATATATATATATATAATGTAAAAAAGACTAAAAAATAGTGGAAGCACTAATAATAAAAATGAGAAGTCAGTTGTTTTTAATCAAACTTGTATAAAAAAGTGTTTGGTGCCCAAACACAGTATCTCTGTTTCCCCTTCTCTCTCTCTCTTATATATAATATATATATATATATATATATATATATATATATATGTGTGTGTGTGTGTGTAAATCAAATCCAGTATTGTATATATATGCGTTGGTGCCGTGTGTACCACAGGTAATAATTTACACACACATATATATATATATATATATATATATATATATATACATACATATGTGTGTGTGTATGTATATTTTGTGTGTGAGAGAGAGAGAGAAAATAACTTTTCAATATCGATAGATTCATCTCATTTCCCACAGACGAAACTTTACAAAACTTTCACTACACTGGCGTTATTTTCATGTAAAATATACTGACGTGAAATATTCCATCGTTCCATAGCCCAAAACTCTCAATTCTACAAAAACTGGATTGGAACATACTCATGCCCTTCGTCTAATTTGTAGGAAGTTCAACTCGATCATCTTTTCCCACTAATCGTTACTTTATGGAAACTTCTTCTAAGAAAATGTGTTCCCCACCACAAAAACATTAACCTATTCAAGCTGCGGATTAACCGTTATCTTATCCACATCTCCTTATAAAATTTACTTCTTACCTCTACTTTTACCTCTCTTACGAATGCGTTCTTCATTGAGTGGCTCTTGAATAGATGAACGTTAGTAAAATTATACTTATGTAGAATGTGATGGTTAAACTGTCGTCATTTTATATGTTTAATTTCGCGCATGCGCATTGTTCAGTTTTTTTTTTTATTTTGTCCACTGCAGAGCGTAGTAGATTTAGTTGGGCAGGGTCTGGGAGAAAAAGAGCACAATGACGCAATCCACTCCGCCAGAAATTTGAAAACGGCATCTTTTACTGCGTGGCATTCGTACTGGAAGCTCCAATACGAGCATTTCAGAGTTTTTGATGATTCAGAAAGAGATGAGTCTAATGGTAATTACGAAAGTACGGTAGCTAAGAAAAGAAATCTTGAATTCGTTGGTGAGACCTTCAGACTCAACATGCAGCTGCACTGGGTCAAGAGGCTTACTGCTGGAAGTCCATATGTCTAGAAACAATACGCTTCACCATGTCAAACAAGCAGTAGAACAAAGTCATGGCTGCCAGACAATTTCTGGGACCACATTACCCCTTACATCTGGATAAATAACTCCTCAGACTGCAATCCCGTTGATTATGTGAGAGCGCAGTTAAGTGAGAGATCAACGAATTTCCTTTTAACACTAAAGATAAGCGGAAGGCAAGAATTATAGCAGCATTCACGAACTTAATCAATGAGACAGTTCAGAAGAGCTGCCGGAGTTTTCGAACTCGTCTGGAGAACGTGACTTGAGCCAATGGCGATTTTTATTGAATAAATTTATTTTACTTTATTTACAAGATTTTTTTGTAGAATTTTGTTAACTGTATATGTTAAAATGAGAAGTCAGTGTTATTTTTTTTATTATTATTGCGTAATTTAGACGAGAGTTTATCCATCTCATCCTGTAAGTATACGTTGAACCGAGAATAACAAAAACTAGGAAACTCTAAAATGGCGTGGCGAAATCAAACACAACCTTTTTTATGTTTGTATCGTCTGTGAAATTTCAGTCCGTCTCGTGACGTACATACAATTCCACTTATTGTGCAATAGTGAGGATCTCGGGACGTAGCCACAGAAGTAAATTC